AGCATCTATAATAATAGACAATCAGCCAGATTGTGTAAGTCGCAAATTAGGCTAAATTGTACGACTCGACAACATTGGCATTGTCTACTGTCGTGCTGAAATAAATAAACGACGAAAATTGTCGAAAATTGTACAGTGCTGCCAAGTTTTTCCGTTTTAATACACTAGTCGAGTGGAAATTTTAGGCAATGACGTGAAATTTTCGATACGATTCGACTCGCGCAATGAGGGTGAATAATTTGCAATGGTTTTACACTTTTGCAATTAATTTCGGTCATTATTAGACAGTCATGACTTGTGCCACTCTGCCATAGTACGGTTGCTGCTCCCTTTCATACCATAGTAATTTTGTATACAACTCTGAATGAAAAAAATGCATGCTCCTTCTCATTATCAACCCTGATCAGATTTTACCCCCGAGGAGTACTCAAAAAGGTTTATTACTGTATATACTGTGGCATGCACTGCGACCAGCAGGTCTATTGTGCCCTCAACCATTTACAGTACCTCATCTAATCCTAGAGAGCCCAAAAATTTGAGGAGATCCCCAGGGATTAGCGATTGTATTGCTTCGTTACTTGGCCAGTAGTGGCCCAGGTACCTCTCCCGTCTTCTCGCGGCCGCCACGCATTCGCACGGGAGTCTCCTCAGTCACGTCGCAGAAACGACATAGGTCGTTTGACCAAATCCCTAGCTTGTGTAGGTGGCCTCTCAGTCTGCAGTGACCCGTCAGAAAACCTGTTATAATCCTTAGTTTTCCTTTGGATAGATTGACAATTGCCCTGTACCTCGTAAGGTCGTAGCCTCCCAGTAGGTGTTTTGCTTGACGTAAACCTGTAGTGTTACGCCAGTGTTGATTCCTTTGTCTGTTCCTTTCTTTTCTGAGCTCCTCCTTGATTGTACTAGGTCCAATCGGTAGGAAGGGCTCAGGCCCTATAGGCGACGAGGCGGCCGCCATTCTAGCTAGTCGGTCCGCTTCCTCGTTGCCCGCAACTCCTATGTGTCCTGGTACCCAAGTTAATTGAATTTCGTTGTGCTCCGCCAGGCTGTTGATACTATCTATGCACTCAAGAACCAAGGACGACTTGACCTCAAATGCTGAGAGGGCCTTGAGTGCCGCCTGGCTGTCGCTCAATATTAAAATTCTCTCGTTACGGTAATTCCTACGTAGGTTAATTTCTGCACACAGACTGATGGCATAGACCTCCACCTGGAAGACACTCGGGTATGCCCCCATAGGTACCGAGAGCTGTAGCCTCGGCCCGTAGACGCCAGCCCCAATGCCTTCCGGAGTCTTCGAGCCGTCTGTGTACCATTGCAACGAGCTCGATTGGATCAGCCTCTCCATGAGAGAGGTGATCCAGGTCGCCTTGGTGCAAAGCTCTATTTTGAAATTCCTGTCAAAGTTAACCACCTTAGGTCTGTCGTCTCAGGGGAGTAAAGCTAGCGGAACTTGGGAGCCTAGCTTGTCTCTGTTCCTTAATGATATGGTTTTGCCCCTGCCAAAGCCTTCCCTCGCGAAATTTAGTAGAGTTCGCTTTGCAGCCTGTTCTATGGTAAGGTGCAGCGGCTCGAGCTCGAGAATCACCTCCAGCGCTGCCGTCGGACATGCGCGCATTGCCCCCGTAATGCATACACATGCCAGACGTTGAAGCTTGGTGAGGGATTGCCTCACCGTGGTGAGGGTGGTTCTCGAGGCCCAAGCCACTGCTCCATAGGTGACTATTGGTCTAACTATCATGGTATATATCCATCTCAAAATCCTGGGACTACAGCCCCAGGTCTTCCCTGCCAGGCGTTTGCATACCATTAGTGCCCTCGTAGCTTTGGAAGTGACCGCGTCAACATGTGCCATCCACAGAAGTTTAGAATCCAGGGTTAGTCCCAGGTATTTAACTTCGGTGGCGACGTTGATGGCGACCCCATTCAAAGAAATGTTCCTCATGCCTGGAAGCGTTCTTCTTCTAGTGAAAGGGACAATAACCGTTTTAGAGGGGTTGATGCTGAGGCCCATGTCCACGCACCAGCCTCCAGGTTTAGTCCCCTTTGCACTATATCACAGAGAGTGCTCACGAACTTTCCTCTGGCGATAATCACGATGTCATCCGCATAGCCTTGACAGCGGATGCCATTGTCCGTGAAAATCCGTAGAAGTTCGTCCACAACTAAGCTCCACAGGAGAGGGGATAAGACTCCTCCCTGAGGGCAACCTTTTGTAGTTTTTAGCTTTACCACGCTGTCCCCGATGTCGGTTTCAGCGATTCGTGAATTTAGTAGCCTGGCTATCCACCTGCGGATCGTTGCCTGCACATTGCGTTTTTCAAGTGCCCGGTCGACACTAATATGAGAGGTGTGGTCAAACGCCCCCTCACTGTCGATGAAGGCACAGAGTACTGTTTCACCACACTCAAAGGAATCTTGTACTACCGTAGACAAGGTGTACAGTGCGGTGTCCGTAGACCTGCCCACTCTGTAGGCATGTTGGTCGGGGTGTAAAGGCACCTGTTTAAGGGTGTTGTTCCTGATTTCATGGTCGATAACCTTCTCCATCGCCTTAAGCACAAAGGAGGTAAGGCTTATCGGCCTGAGGACTTAGCTAGAGAATAATCTCTCTTTCCTATCTTCGGGATAAAAATAACCCGAGCCCTTTGCCAAACCTCAGGGATGTGAGCGAGCGCTAGGCTAGCCCTCATGATGTTCACGAGGTGTGGAAGTAGGAGCTCCTTGCCTTGCTTCAGCAACACTGGACTGATGCCTTCCCTCCTGGTTTTGTCTCCGGGCAGCTTGAGTTAAAGGCATCTACAATAGCGCCATTTAACTCATTGACGGTGCTCTCTAGGCTCATGCAGTTAGTGTACCTACTCCTAGACTTAATTCCAGTCAGGTTTGACTCTAAAGTCTCGCTGTACTTTGCCCAGTCAGTTTTCCTGGGGTTCCTGTTTGCCTGCCTAGTTCTGACTTCTACTCCCAGTGCAAACTGGATAATCCTATGGTCTGACAGTGAGGGCTCCGATGAGACCCCCCACTGGGTGACCAGAGGGCTAGCCAGTCTGTTGCTAAGCATGATGTCTAGTACCTCCTCTCTAGCCCTCGTTACAAATGTCGGTGTTTGGCCAACATTGTGGATGCTTAGTTCCTCACTTAAGATGTACTCTAGGAGACACTCACCTCTGCGGCTCGTATCCGTGCTGCCCCACTCAACGTTGTGGGCATTCGCATCGCACCCTATGATGAGGTGGAGCCGTCTCTTTCTGCAGAATTCCACTAGCTGCTATACCTCTTGCAGAGGGGCGTAGTTGCTGTCCCCCGGAAAATAGGCCGCGGCAAACACCACCTCTAGGCTTCTGCCACTTAACGAGAGCGTCGTTGCACTGCGACCAAGTCCTGTGTTAGAAACTCTGTAATGCAAAAGTAATCAATGTTCTTCTTAAGCACCACACATGCTCTGGGCCTCTCGCAGGAGAGGTCCCAAATTACCTTGTTGTTGTTGTGGTTGAGGCCCCTAACCTGGCCTCTGTAGGTCCACGGCTCTTGGATCAGTAGAATGCCCAGGTCATCCGTGGCGAAACTGCTGGAGATGACCGCCGAAGCAGCCACCGCATGATGCAGGTTGACCTGGGCTACTGCTAAGTGACGCGTGGTCATAGTTGCGGCTCGTCGAGATCGGAGAGCTGTAGTTCGCTCTCGCTTCTCCTATCGAGCTGAAGTCGCCTGAAGTCGATGCCTGATAGCAACTCCTGCGTGGATGGCACGTCTTCCGCTGGCTTGGTGGTGGTGGCTGGCTCGGACGTGCTTGCTGGAGTTGGTGTCTGGGTGAGGGGTAGCTGACTGAGGGGTGGCTGTTCCGCCGGTAAGGTCGAGGTGGACTAGGTCGCCTGGGCAGCGGAGGAGTCGGCAGCCGCCTCGATTTGCGTCTCCTGCGACTCCGACTCCTTGCTATCTGTTGCCTTTTGGCTCCACGGCCTCACCGTGACGAAACTGAACCTATAGTTTAGGTTGAAGCCAGCCCTCTTGATGCTGACGTACGATTCCTCATCTATGCCCAGAAATAGTCTGACCCCGTTCTCCTCTACAGAGCTGGACACTACCTTCCACGCAGAGATGTGGATGCCCTCATTCTGCGCTTTTAGTAGCCCCAACGCAAACTCCGCCGATTTGTCGGCGCTTCTTGGCAGGAACACCGTGATGTTATGCACTGGAGGGATGTCATCCCCCCTCTTCGTGCACATCTCGGGTCCCTTCCAGCCCTCAAGTGCCGGTGCTTTTTTCACCAGCCAGGTTGCTGTTCTCTCGTCCCTGCAGTCAACCAGGAGCATGCCGGATCTGAAGTACACACCACAGAACACCAGCGGGTGCGACCATCCTTTGAAAACCTCTTCCATGATGGCATCCTGGAGTCTGGTTAGGTCTTCCGAGTTCAGGGCAGCAGCAGGGTACTCACAAGGCAGCACCGCTACCCGAATGCCGTTGAGGGCTTCCGAATAGCTGGGTTGCTGAGTGGCACCCCCCTGCGCCTGTCCTTGCTCGATCGGCCCGGCCAGGCTCCTAGACCATGAGTTCGGAGGGGGTGGCTGCTCCCGCTGCCGTTTGGTGCCCGGTGTCTCTGGCGGAGTGACCTGGTTGCTACCTCTTTTGTTGGAGCCTGTTGGTTCCTCGCTTCTCTGCTTTTCAGCGGGCGCGGGTCTGTGCTGCTGTTGTCGCTGTGGCCCGCTCTTCTGCTTTTCAGCAGGTGCGGGTAAGTGAGCCTGTTTGTTGGGCCCACTCTTCCACCTATCGGCGGGTGCGGGTTTGTCGCCTTTTCTGTCTCTCACGTCCCTCATTCCCAATCTCCATTCTGACCTCTGCCATGGCTCTGGCTTCAACTGAGGGCTTGCCTTGCCCGAGGTACCGGAGGTACCATTTAACCCCGGAACCGCTTAAGCCCTCGCGAAGCCGATAGTCTAGGGACCCCGGTTGACCTGGCCGCGGCATCGGAGGAGGCTTGGCCCTGCGGTGCTTCCTACTCCTTTGCTTCTGCCACCCGGAGTCGTCGGACGCCGCTGAGGCGCTACTCCTGTGCGACCTATGGAGTCTCTCCTTCTCCGCCCGGTGACCGCTTTCGGAGCGGCGCCGGCTCTTGGAGCGCTGCCGGCTCTTTGAGCGGTGTCGACTCGTAGAGCGACGCCGACTACCCGAGCGATGCCGGTTCTTGGAGCGGTGACTACCATCGGTGCGGTGGCTGCTGTCTGACTTTGCTGTCTCTCTGTACCTGCAAAGAGAACTGCCGGACCGGTGTTGCGGCCGATCTAGTTCGGCAGGTAAATTGTGATTTCCTGTCAAATTTCTGTTATTAGAACTACCTGTTTTGCTCTGGCCCATGCGACTTAGCGCATCTGCACTGGTTCCTGGTTGGTCATCGTCCCTTGCATGTTCGATGAACAGCGCTGCCTCCTCGTCGGTTAGCTGGTCTAGGAAACTGCCTTTCCGCCCAGCACAGTACAGATTATCATAGTTCAGTGTATAACTTGTTATATTACACCGTACATGATAATGAACTGTTAAATGCTGAAAACGCTTATAACTTGTAGATCAATGAAACTTGGGTGTGCTTAATGAACTGTCTGGGCGGTTGCGCTGGCAGGCATTGTTTTTTTTTAAATAAAGACTTACATATATTCGGAAATTTAGAATTTGGCTTGATAAATTCACAAAATTTACGTTTCTCATAAAAATGTAATCTTATAATGGACTTTTTTCTTAATTTAAACTTACATTTAAGAAAACTCCATACAGTGCTATAATTACTATTTGAGTTTTCCAGTTTATAAAACACAAGCTTTAATTATGAACTTAATTATTGATATTATTCTTCATTAAGCATGAGTTTCAGCATACATTAAATGTTAATATTATACTTTACCTACATTTTGTTCATAAATAACACATAATTATGTATATTTTATCCTCGAAAAGAACTTTTCTAATCATGAGGCGAANTTCAGCATACATTAAAAGTTAATATTATACTTTACCTACATTTTGTTCATAAATAACACATAATTATGTATATTTTATCCTCGAAAAGAACTTTTCTAATCATGAGGCGAAATTCCCCACAGTAAGTGTTGCCGTGCGCGCAAAACGAAAACGCTGCACACAACCCAAAAGTACTCCTCGGGGACCAGATGGTGAAAAACTGCGAAAAGGTTTATTACTGTATATACTGTGGTGCATGCCTCTATTAATTATCTATCTATCTAACATTGTAATAAGCCTTGTAACCTCAAGTGTTTACACAACCAGCCTTTAAACGCGGGATCCATAGTCCAAGAATCAAAAAAAAAAAAACAAAAAATGCGCGTACGCTTGGTTTGCATCATATTTAAGTCATATGTGTCCAAAGAATAAATATCTTTTGAGGCACCTGCTGCAAACAACAAAGCTTGTAAAGATTCATTAAGAAAATAATTCAAAATCAGTTCTACTTACAAGATTTAGTAACAAATTTGCCGAAAGTGTGAGCGTAAGTACTTACTCTACAAGCAAATAGTACGCTATACATTGAATATATTGTGCATAGAGAAAAATTACTGGGAAGTTAAAAAACGTCATTTTTTACACAAAAAACGTCCAAACGTCAACAGGATACAAAAAACGTCGAAATGACGTTAAAAACGTCAACCTGGCAACGCTGACCCTACATCAGATTCGTAATCACCAACCCTAGAAAGCCACCGGTAACGAGTTTCAACCCTTAACAATGCTTAAAACGTTTAGTATCAACGTTTTAATTTTAGTTATTTTGTAAGAATTTGATCGCCCTATTGGATCCGCCATTTTGAAGTTTGAAAATCTGACATCAGATTCGTAATCAGCGACCCCGAAACCACCTGAGTGCCGGGTTTCGAACAAAAAATTAATCGCCATTTTGGATCCTCCATTTTGAATTTTGAAAAACTGACTTCAGGTTCCTAATTAGCAACCCCAGAAACCCCCCTGGTGACTAGTTCCAACCCATGATAATGCGTAAGTCGTTCAGTATCAACGTTTTAATTTTAATAGTCTCTTTTCGAAAGCATATTTCCGGTCACTGGGCCCATTCTATCTCTCCAAGACAAGTATGTAATTTAGGTAATGTTCCCCAATAATAGCTGCATTTCAACATATCACATCCAACAACCGACCTCCTCCCGAAAAATGCCCACTTAGGCGGCACTGTACGGCTATAACTATTTCGACCACTGTACATACGTTGACTATGATTACTCGGCTGTGCTATCCATATATGTAATCCTCCTATATTGGCAGTAAGAGCTAGTACCGTCGGAAAACACTACAGTACTGGTATATCAATAAACACGTACGAAAGAAAGGGAACACATACGTTTATAAATAAACATGTACACAACACATATACAAAAACGGCACTCAAGTACACAATCCATTGACAAAAACGGTACTAGACTGTCTCGCTTTGATTTCGGAATGCTTACACATTGAGAAGTTAGCTTACTGCTACAATATAAGTATAAAAATATATGGTGCTATCATAGTAGCACAATGCCACTAAGTGTATTTTAAAATTTTCACGCAATAGCCTCATGCGATTATCGCGAAGCATTGATTTGAAGGAACTAAAGCTCATCTCAACATCTACAGATACTAAACTATACTTCAAAGCTCGTTCGATTCGTGGTTATTTAACATTTAAGTAATAGGTTGTGGTGTTTTTTGTCGTGATTTACTTTTATTCCACAGCAGTCAAAAGTACGTTTCCCAAATTCTTCTATATAGCCGTGGATTTTCACGGAATTATAACAAGCGGCCTTATGCATTTTAAATATTCGCAAATAGAGGAGTTGATAAGGTGCATGCATCAACTCTTATGCAGAATATGGTCAGATGAACACATGCCCGATGACTGGAATTTAAGTGTGCTCTGCCCAATCCTTCAGCCTTTTAAGCATAGGTTACAAGGTCTTATCAAGCGTATTGTGCGAAAGACTGGAGCCCACCGTCAATGAACTGATTAGTGTGGCTTTAGGCCTGGCAAATCGACGATAGACCAGGTATTCACAATACGCCAAATCTTGGAAAAGACCCGCGAGAAAAGGATCGACACTCACCTCCTATTTGTCGGCTTTAAAGCCGTCTCGACAGCACTAAAAAAAGTTGCCTATACGAAAGACCTCTCCGAGCCGTTTGCCACCAAACGGGGTTTCAGACAGGACGACTCCCTTTAATCTGATATTGGAGAAGATAATCAGCCCTATTCTGCATTTCGATTACGTTCCCGCATTCCGCTCCGCTGGAATCGAACTTAGGTATTCTGCGTTACGATCGAAACGAAAGAAGAAGAGGAAGAGAGAAAACATCTTTCGAAATCAGCTGTTTGCCTAGGAATGTGTGAAATCGAAACAAAACAAAGAAATATTTGCCACCAAACTATAGCAGCATATGAAGTTAAAGTTTGTAAATATTTTAAAATAACTAAATATACCTAGCATCACTGTAATTTAAAAATTAAATATAAGTGGATACATAATTAATTATAAAATGAAATCCATAGCCGCGGCGTTGTTGCTTGAAGAGAAGAACGATTCCCAGATTGCTGATGCGGAAGTTGAAAGGCGGAGATTTAGGGACATGTTTGATCTTTATCAGATGAGTGAAGAGTCATAAGGAATTCATCTTGAACTGTATTACTCATCGCTTAAAGTCAGTGAAATTATAAACGTTGTTTGAGCACTCCACAACATTTGTATTTACTACAGAGTGGAAGATTTGGACGCAAATGAATCCCATTTTGAAAGCCGTCATGAGGAGGGGAAGAACAAAGCTTATTTCCATAGCAAATCGAATTCGAGACAACATACGCACCTCTATTTAAAAAGTTAGTAAAAACGAGTGCAATAATAAAAGCATCTTTTTTATGTAACTTCACATTTTATGTATGTATGTATCTATGTGCATACATCTATTAATTTTATATAAAAAGAATAAATTGTATTCAGTGCATTTCACAGTCTTATTTATAGATAATGTAAACAAAAACGCCTGGACTTCCACTTTGAAAACGTCGCGCAATATCCCTTTTGGTTGCCATTATTTGAGCCAATTTTTCGTATTGCCCGCTCGCGAAAACACAGAAATCGATAAAATTCATTTATGATGACTTTTACAATCATGCACAGTATATTTTACTTAAATTTTTTATAAAATGGTATTGTTTAAATCCACGAAAATAACAATTGAAACATTCTCCGCCAACAAATTTGCAACTTAGAAAAACGGAACTACGATCGAAATGTAGGATAGGTATAATCGTAAATTTCGAAGATTGATCGAAAGGAAACGGAACGCAGAATACCAAAGTTGCCAAACGGAGAAAATTTCGATTCGAGTCGAAATGCAGAATAGGGCTGAATAAGAGGTGCAGAACTGAATCGCTCAGGAACAATTTACTACAAGAGCGTGCAATTGCTGGCTTATGCAGATGACATCGACATCATCGGTAACAAAAACCGCGAAGTCTGTTCTGCCTTTTCCAAGTTGGATAGGGAAGCAAAGCGCATGGGTCTGGTGGTAAACGAGGACAAGACGAAGTATCTCCTGTCAGCAAACAANCTTTTTCAAGTTGGATAAGGAAGCAAAGCGAATGGGTCTGGTGGTAAACGAGGACAAGACCAAGTATCACCTGTCATCAAACAAATAGTCAGCACAATCGCGCCTTGGCACCCACGTCAATGTTGACAGTTATAATTTCGAAAAAGTAGAGAATTTCGTTTACTTGGGAAACAGCATTAACACCGATAATAATGTCAGCATGGAAATCCAACGCAGAATCAGTCTTGCCAACAAGTGCTACTTTGGACTGAGTAGGCAATTCAGGAGTAAAGTCCTCTCTCGACGTACGAAAACCACGCTCTCTAAGTCACTCATCATACCCGTGATGGTATATGGCGCAGAAGCATGGACAATGACAACATCCGATGAGGCAGCTCTTGGAGTATTCGAGAAAAAGATTTTGCGGAAGATTTACGGGCCTTTACGCGTTGGCGACGACGAGTACCGCAGACGATGAAACGATGAGCTGTATGAGCTTTACAACGACATGGACATAGTGCAGCGAATTAAAATACAGCGGCTCCGCTGGCTTGGCCATCTCGTTCGAATTGACACCGACATCCCTCCTCTGAAAGTATTCAACTCGGAACCCGCTGGTGGTAGCACAGGAAGAGGGAGGCCCCCATTGAGGTGGAAAGACCAGGTGGAGAAATACTTGGCTTCACTTGGCATTTCCAATTGGCGTCAATTGGCACAGAAGAGAAACGACTTTGTTGAACTCGGCCAAAATCGCTTAGGCGGCTACAACGCCAAATAAGAAGAATAAATATTTAACATTTTGTTTGTAAATCGGGCACTAATTCAAAATTTCAAACCAAATTAGGTGGTAGTGGGAGCACAAAACTACACTAACAAATTAGGCTTTCTGCACATTGGTCGTCGAATCATAGTTGCCTCATCGTCACAATCATGATGCAACATTACATGACGACTACACTTTCGCACACTCGGTCGTGATATTTCAATTCATTTGGCGTCTGAAAATTCACTTTGAGCAGGTATTTTCTGTTTTTCTGGTTGATATTTTCGCGAAATATTTACAAAAACATGTAATTTTTAAAATATAGACTGTGCTGCAACAATTCTAGAGATCATTTTTCAGTAATATCTCTTCTTTTCTTTTCCTGAAATGTGTTTTGTGCATGCACACAGAGACTTTTTACAATTTCATGATATTTTATAGTTAAAACGCTCACATTTATTGAATTTTAATGCATTTATCCACTTTTTAATAATTTCCACAGATTTTATGCAAAAAATACTAACTTAGGCTATCTGCACACTTGTCGTCCAATCATATTAACTTGTTCACTAAATTGTAAACAAACAATGCGTGCACAACGATTAGCAAACGACAGTGTCGTACTTATCCGTTTCTGCATGTTCTACGATTTGCCGATAACTAGCCGATAACGACAAGTGTGCAGATCTCCTTTGAAATGCATGTGCTCGGCTCAAAATTTCAGGGCGAGACGATAACGCAACTATGATTGGACGACAAGTGTGCAGATAGCCTTATACCCACAATGGCAATAAGAACAAAACAAACGTAAATAAACACATCATGACATCAGTACGAAAATCTAATTTCGTCGGTTACACCACCTTATATGAATTCACCATGTCCCCACTACGTAAGGTGAAGAAAAACAAGCAATCAGCTGAAGGAACGAATTCCAGTGTTGTAAAACATAAAAGTATGAAAATGAAGAGATAAATATTAAAAAGGCAAAATATGCCGAAGAGGCAGTATAGTCAAAAAAGGCGAAATTAAAATTTATATTTTTAATCAAGGAAGACATGAAACGTGTGATTCTTTAATTTGTTTCGAGATACGACGAAGCAGACAAAATAGTCAAATGCCATAAAATCCTAACCCTGATGATTAGCAATTTAGAAACATGCAAATTTTCAAATTCTTTATAAGGTAACACCATTATAAAATTCTGCAAATCTCATGGCAGGATCGCCAATCGCAAAGAATCTTGATTGTAAAGATCTTGCTGTTATAAAGGAGCTTGAATAATATTCAACAAGGACTTTGTAACACGTTATTATAGTTTGAAGATCAAATTTGTAATAATCAACAAGAAAATTTGGGAAATGTTTAGTTGTTGGCCCATCGTTTTTGGGGTGGGGGGCGTGGCCCCCCGAACCCCCCTCATTCGAAAGGGGCCAGTCGCCACTTTACGAAAAGCCCCACCCCCCTTGGGGACCTTCCACAGACCCCTAGGGAACCGTTTGAAAATGGGGTAAAAACGGCATTTTCCGAGGCAAACTGAGCACTTTGAAGTGGAATATAACCCAACTAACAGAATCTGTGGGGCTTTTAAATAAAAGAAGTTATCCCAAGGTGGTTATCAGGCGAAAAAAGGAGGGCTAAACACCTTTCGCAGAGAACACCTTTGTGCGTAGGCGGCCTTCGGCCGCACTTAGGGATTATAACCCTCAGGCAGTAGAATTCTCCTTTCTGTGTTGCGAAGAAAAGGAGCTGAATACCTTTTACAGAGAACACCTTTGTATATTTTTAATGCTTACAGGGTTATATCCTATTTTCTTTTGTCTCTCATTCTTTTGCATATTTTGGAGTTTGACAGCTGAACTACGCCATTTAATTTGCATATGCAACAAAAGTCAGACGCATGATTTAGAAGGTGTTTTTATTTAATAAATTGTGATTAATTGGTTAATATTAAAGTTATAAAGAAAGTTATAGCTCATTGAGTAAAGTGTAAAGTGAAGGAGAATATAAAAATATATTGCTGATGTAGCTGCTTTAAGGAGAATAGGAGTGATAAATTTACGCTAATTTCCGAATTTTACAAAAAAGGGCATATTTCAAACCCAATTTGTAAATAAATTAGTGACCCAAAATTACAATAGTGGATGTAAAAATAATGGGTAGACCCTTGGCTACAAGTGTGTGCAATTTTTTTTTGGATCGGGTCACCCCTTTGGACGCAATACCCCGAAATAGGTGGGCCACTTACTAAACAGTACCCGAAAATTTTTAAAAAGATACAAACACGGTCATTTAATTTTTTAGCAATCCAAAAATAAAAGAACAAGTATTTTAACAACAAAGTTCAAAAAGTATTCAACGCGGGTCGCGCGGCGAAAGGACAGAAATACTCCAACTCTGAAAGGATTTAACGCGTGTCGCGATGCTGGTAACAGAACAATAGGAGGGCTCCTCCGAGATATTTTTAAGGTACTCAAATTAAATTATGCATTACTTTTATTATTTTTATTCTTATTTATTGTGCTATCTCATTTTTGGAGAACCAAAATGAGTCTAATCGACGTAGACTTACGATTGGTTCGGTTGAATGTTCAAGCTTGAAGGGGAAAATAGAACATATCGATGACATCCGAAAACAGGTGTGCTCGAAATTGATAGCATAAAGTTTTTGAAATTGTAGAAATGAAAGGTTACTGGAATCACTGCTAATTAAATATCCTACGTTAGCTAATAACAAATATTTTATTGAAGAGAAATTTAAGGAACATTGCATTCTATATATTATATATATATTAAATGTCTTTCGATTTTTATCCTTTTAATTACACGGCGCGACAGTGATAATACACCCGGAACTTAAAATAGTGCAGGTTGTAGGTCGACAACAGGAAAGGTGATATCTTATGGTCCCCAAACCCTCAATTTCTTTTATTTAAAAAACCTTCACTTTCGTACTTGGGATTTAAAAGATTAAACATATAATTTATAGAGGATTTGTAGACTTAAAAAAATATGTTTGCTTTAAAAAAAAGTTGGATGGTTCAGGGACCATAACATACTTATATAGATATTTCTATGGTGGACTCGATCCTACCAATATGTTATGTTTCGGGTGTATTCAATTTTTTTTGTAGCAGTGTTGTTGTAGAAGCACTTTAATAAGTATAATCAATCATTAAATGGCACAATTCTTTACAAAAATCATAACATTTCGCTTTAATGTCATACTCCTATTCAACAAATTCATGAGTTTTAATTTTATTTGTATATTTATTATTTCTTGTATGAGATTATTTAAATTCTTTTACAACATGCATATTCTTGCATTGTAGTATTGAATAGAACATTATTACTGTTTTATTGGTAATGACAACGATAATGAAATTTTGTCAGATATTTACTGCAACAGTCCCCTTATTAGCTATTTATACTAAGTATAATGAACTGATTTAAAAAGGGTATATACAGTTTTTTTATCAAAAGAAACTTGAACTAAATAAAAAAAGGCTTTTCATGGATTTGTATTTTGCTCAAAAGCTACTCGTCATATTCCTTAGCTTCAAGCAACGATCCGACCCGCTAAACCAGTTTACTAGATAGAATAATTTCACTTTTCTCTGTCAAAGCATGGATGTTTTGCCTTTTTACAATTCGTCTCACTTTTGCAATAAATTAACCTAGCAATAATTATATTGATTTCCCTTTTCACATACATATGTATAAAGTAAGTTTGAATATACAAGTTATAACTTACATCATGATTCTTTATGGACTTATGTAAAGATTGTTTTATTTTTAATACTTTTCCACTCACGTTGTACGTCTTTAAACCTTCTCAATGCATTTTCAATATACTTTTGTTCCCATTTTAAGTCTAAACGAACAAACTTTGTAGTGTTTATTTTTTGTTGTGCTTTGAAAGGGAAAACATGTACTTTAATCACTCAATTGTAGATCTAGCTAGTTGAAACGAATAAGCGTAAATTCATTACACTTTTAAATTTTCACATACATTCAAGAAAACGAAATTCTCAAATCTGGCAACACTATTTTCAAAAGATTTGTTATGCTAGTGTATTGCAAAAGCTATTCAATTGTTCATAAATTTTAAGTTTTAGTTAATTTAATCATAAAGTTTTTTTTTGGTAAACCTTTAGATTTGCGAATTGTGCTAAATATGATATAATAGTTATTTTTCAATAGATTTTTCTTTGCTTTTTTTGTATGACCATAAGAACCTGATTCTTATTGAAGCGTTCAAGTCTCTTACACAATCCAGCTACGTTGTTCTTTTTTCTTTTAATATTCACTTTTTCAACCTAAACTAAGGTGTTCGTGGCTCCTTATTTTCTTAAAACTGATCCGTAAGAAGCTCACACATTTCGCGGGTGACAGCCTCTTTGCTAGCGCGAATGGTTAGTCGAAACATCTAAAATTAATTCACAAAAGATTGCATTATTTAATTTAAACAAATAGTCAAATGTCACAAACCTGTGCTTGTTTATTTGGCTCCAACCGTAGCAAACAGCCCACTTGCTGCGTTTGTGTGTGTATAATACCTGCACACACCATATTATCGGGATTGGGGTCGACACTGTCTAATAGTTGCATGCCAAAGCCCATCAGCTTATTGCGTGCACCGGGCAGATCAAGGGGCTGTTGGGCCTTAAATACCTTTTGAGCCCTTTGTTGCTCGCTGTAACTTATGCAGTTATGCGGAAATAAGCAATTTTCTGAGCGATAAAAAATCTTTGAGTTTACTCACCCTCCCAAATTTTTCCATCGTGCGAAAAACGATTCCGCATTCATTTCTGTTGGTTCGAAAAACTTATTTAATGTCAGTGGCAATTTAATGCAGAATTTCTGTGGCACATTCTTATAACGGAAATTCACTTCAAGGGTAGGTGTATCCGCATAATCCTCAATACATTCAGCTGTAAGTAACTGCTGTATTTGTGCCCCAGCATCCAGTGTGGGATCTACTGGTTTTACCTGTACACTAAGCTTAAGTGCATCCTCTGGACTCCACTGAAGTACTGGCATAAAATTCTGAATGAAAGCAAAACGTGGAATATTTAAAATGAATTGAATAGAAAATGACCAGGTAACAATTTTAATCATTAATTGCTTTCGATCATCAGGTCAGTTTTTATGAAAAAGTTGCTTGAAGCTCGATGATTAAAAAATGTTATATATTTTAAATTACTGACCATCAACGGTATTTGTGTTTTGTTGCCATAAAAAAGCCCCAAACGTCCAAGGTTTTGCCGGAACTCACTCTTCACACCAATTTGCAGCATTTCATTTTCGAAAAGTACTCCATTATTCTTGAAGAGGAACTTCTTGGTGTTGCAAGTCGCCGCATTATTATTGCCGTAGAAATCACCCAACACGTCGATTAAAGTGCTACTACCCTGGTTATTTAAGCCAGCTGGCGGTGTGCTCAAACCTAACAAGTCTGCGTTGGCACTACTATTCAACCTGCAGAAAAATAAACCATTTCGAAATTATGCAATACTATAAACAACATTAAAATATGCGCACTTATGATTTACAAGGACATTATTTTGCACCACCGCATTTGGGGCTGGACTCTTCGACTCTCGAATCTCATTTTCGGGCACACGTCCAGGTTTTTTTTTCTTTAAAACAGCCAGTATCGAGCTTTCACGCTCGGGGAATGACGGCATCTCCTCTAATACAGTGGCCAACACATCAGTTGACGCTACAATGCTCAACTGCAAATATTCGCTGGCACGTTGTTGCAACTCAGCGTCTGCGGAGCGTAAATTACTATGTTGTCGGAACACTTCTTGAATATTGGTACGTATCTCGGGAAATAGATTTATGAATTTGATATAAGTCGATAGCAAGAGTGCGCGAGTCATAGGTGAGCAAAGATGATATTTCGAGTGTAGCAATTTAAATTGTACGAGTGGAGCGGAACGTGAGTCTCCAGCGATAAGATTGCCAAATTCGCCTAATATGTATCCGCCTACTTTGACCATATTTTCATGACAAGCCGGTGCTTGCAAAGCTTCAAATACAGTTTTTGCTGCATAACCTTGTACTTCCTCTCGATTGATAACGATTTGTATAACGCGATACCAGACTTCCTCTGAAACATAATCGCCAGCAATACGAATCAGATTGAGAATGACATCCACGTACCTAAAAACAAAAAAAAAAAACAATGTTTGATTAGATGTAAAGCGAATAGCAGAAACGGATTATTTCTAATGCTAATGCATAACATTCATACCAAGTGTAATCAGTGGCGTATTTTTCTGCTAAAATTGCTACTTTTAGCACCATTTCCTCGCGTATGGAGTAATCAGCCGTCTCCAAGTAGTTCAGCATTTCTTGCACGATTTCCTCAGCATTGCCTCGATCGCACATCGCATACAACAGATCCACGGCCATTTGGCGCACCGAAACATCCTTCTCCATCTATATACAGTAAATTAAAGAAAAGAAAACCAAAAACTCGGGTTATTACAAGAAGGGGAAAAAAGTACGCGAACTACACATGTACGCCAATTGACTCATCACCAACCTTCATAGACAAGATGACAACTTCCTGATGCTTTTTCACCTCTTCATGTGAGAACTCCGATGTGGCCAAATGGCACATTGACTCCAAAGCCAAATAACGTAAATTTGTCTCACGATTACTCAAAAATTGTCCAAGTTGATTGCAAGCACGCACCAACAAATTTGGCTCACTGTCGCTATGAATGATTAAATTGATAGCCTCGAACAAAACTGCATTCTTGGCATTTGAATGTTGGACCTTTTTACTCTTCGGTGGCTCTTGCGCCTTATTCAGAATAGTTTCGAGTGTTTCATTTAACCGCGCACGCACTCCCGGCTCTTCTGTTACTGGATTATAGTTCTGCAGCAAGCGCAGAAGTTTCACAGACAACCACGGCGCTGGGACAAAATAGTATGTGTAATCCTGCAAATCCGTGTAGCTGGCAGTGACAATGCGTGAGAGACGAGACACGGCCAGATTAACACAACCCTTGTACTCCTCTGGATTGCGCTTAACAAGCGCATCAATTAATGAAGTAGCAGCAGTTACCACACCCATGTGCTGATCGTTGAGCAAATGTATAATACGGGAAGTCCATTCTCCTCCTGGTATTATGTCAGGACTGGAACGGAACAGACGAAGAAGACAAAGTGCAGCTGATTGCTTAACAACATCCATTGTATCACTGAAACCCGAGCAAATAAATTTAAATTAAGAATTATAAGTCACACTAAAGAGCAAGTAGCTTACCCCGATACCAATAATTTTGGTATCTCATTCGAGAAAGACTCCGCCATATCCCGGCTGCCAATATTAGCGATACACTGCAAAGCCAAGTTCACATGTACAGGATTGCGCGATTGCAAGTCATTTTTGATTGACTGTATAATCAAGCGTATCAAATCGCTATTAGTGTTTACCAAAACCGAAATGAATAGATAACCCTAAACATGTTGAATGGAATTAAATATTTTCATTTTTGATACGTAAATTGTGGGAATTATAACACAGCTCCACAAAAAAAATCGAAAAATAGTGCCAGAACCCAGACCAGACTTACTATACGTTTTGGGAGTCACTGAATCCAAATCCGTTTTTCTCAATTACTTCAGGATTTTTTCCTAACCCAAAAAAAACAAGGCGGATATTATGCACCAGGCACATTGAGGTTAGGAAAAATACTGAAGTGATGGAGCGAAACAGACTTCAAATTCGTGTTCAGCGCATCAAAATATACATATAAGGAAAGGAAAGTATGATACCCCAGTCACGACATTTTTATACCCGAGCGCACTTGTGCACAAGGGTATATTAATTTTGTTCACATAACGGTTGTTTGTAACAGCCAAAACGAATCGAGATAGATTTAGACAAATGTATACATAAATGCTCAGAATGAATAGAGAAGTCGATTAAGCCATGTCTGTCTGTCCGTCTGTCCGTTCGTCCGTGTACACGATAACTCGAGCAAAAAATGAGATATCTCAACGAAATTTGGTATGTAGGTTTCCGTTAATCCAAGGTAGGTTGGTAATGAAAATGGGCGAAATCGAACAGTAACCACGCCCACTTCCCATATAACGGTAATTTCCAGAAATACGAAAACTGCGATATTTTAGTAACTACTGAAGATAATTCACTCAAAATTGATATACGTTTATGGTAAAATTTTGGAAAATGGGCGTGGCACCGCCCACTTATGATCACATATATGTATATCGGTAACCGTTATACCAATCTGCACCAAACTCGGTATTTTTATTGTCCTTAAACATAAAAGCAAAACGTTGAAAATTATTGAAATCGGACTAAAATTACGGCCGCTTTTCATATAACAGTAAATTTCAGAAATGCTTGAAACTGGAATATTTCGAAATTTAAGGACGCTAATTTACTCAAAATTGATACAACCCGCCTTACTATCTAGCGGTAGCTTTCCGCCCGAACTTAGACTTTCTTACTTGTTTTTCTTATTTTTTTGTGTGGCTGTGCACAGCTGTTATACAACCACACAACAAAAATGTCTCGGTTTGAGGATCAGACTATTCTCTTCTTATGTAAGTCTGGTCTGGGTTCTGGCACTATTTTTCTTATTTTTTTGTTGAGCTAAAGTACAGTACGTAGACGCTGACATGCAACATACAATTTGTTTTTCAGAATATTTGTTCGAAGAGAGTAAATTGACCGCCTCCATGTGCCCAAAGTCGATGTCGTGCCCCAGTAGAAAAATAAACAACAGCTTGCACACATATTTCTTCTTTTGATAGCCATCGAGTGTTTTATCGCCTTTGAACTTACTGCGAATGTTGGCGAGTTCCTTATTAATGCGCTTCACTTCGGCCTCTTTACTTTTACCTATAAATTTGAATTATTTTAATAAAGACATAAATACATATTTTAATAAGCTACATATATGAGTATTAGGGATGTTAATTTTTCGGAATTTTCCGATCCCGGGATTTTTGGGATGGCGTTGTCACAATCCCGGGATCCCGGGATTAGTCCCGGGATTTAGATATCCATTACTTTTCAACAACTTGAATCGAAAAAAATGCTTCTATATTGTTTGAAAAGCTCTCCTACCATGAAATAAATAATAAATAAATGGGTTTTAAACCTACTTTTTTATTTAAAGTGGCGTTTTTATTTTTTCTCTCCGACCGCAGGATTTATTTCGAAGGACTTTGTAATTTCAAAGATATGATTAATTCCAAAAATTATTAAAAAAATTCAACGCAATGTAGAATAAAAATATGGGTAACAAATGCAATAGGAATTTAAATTTTTTGGATTCACAAGAACGAATAGGTAATTTTTAAGCTGACAAAGTTTGAAGAACGAAATTCGAGGATGTTATCGAGTTTATATAAGCCCTTAACATATAATTTTTTCAAAAACAAATACTGCGAAATTTCAAGGATAAAATTTTAAAATGGCATTTTCAATATTTACCAGCCCTTCTGTACCAGAAACCAGTGATCGGACTTAGAAAAATTCTGTGTGGTAGAATCTGGAAAAAATGTGGTAGATTTCAAAAAAATGTGGTAGATATCAGGTTTTGGTACAAACTTTGTAAAAAAAAGTCAAGAAATTCTGTAAGGTTTCACCTAAATTGCAAACTTTTTAATTAGACTTAAAAAAAATTAATTTTAGTATAACAAAGTCCAAGATTGAAGTTGCTAATAATTGCATTGAGTTTGGCAATTTTTTTCCTTGACAGTGTAAAGCGGTTCCTTCCATATCAAAATATTTTTCGAACATAAATTTTTTTGCAACCTTGCGGAGTGCTGCCAGCATTTCATTTTATCACATCACGATGTAGCGAACAAATGTGGCACGTTACAGAAACCGCTACGTGGGATTTGCCGAATTTGACAATTCTCAAGTAAATGTAAACAACGTCTCAGATGCTTTAGATACACTTAAATTTGCTAATACTTTCAAAAAAATCGCCGTTTTTTTTAATTTTCGCCATTAATTCTTTTTATAAATCATATATTTTAAAATTTAACATAATGAAACCACGTTTCCTGTCGAAAAATTTATTATTGTGAAAATTTACTATTTTACAGTTTATTCTATCCTCCCATTGGGCTTTGTTTCTTTTACTTGAGAAATTTCATCGACGCCGGGAATGCGGAATCTTGTATTATATCATTCTTGTAACCATATAGCAACGGTGGGCAATCGCGGCTCTTTGAGCCAAATCCGGCTCTTGCTTAGCAAAGTGCGGCTCTTTTTACTTTCTCTTTACTTAGATTATTTTGGCTCTTTTTACTTTTTAAGAAATATATCTCTTTGCTGGACATTCTTTTCCATTGTGTTGTTTTTTTATTTTATTCTACTATCCTATTGTATTGTTATGAAACTTCGATCACCCCACTAATCCCCTACTTGAAAGTGTTGTTGATACGCCCATGTATTTCAATCTCAACAATAGCAGCTGCTGAGAGACTGGAAGGCTCGCAACGGTTTTGTCGTATGATTAAGCAACAGCAGAACTTTGTGCGGAAGTAGCGGGATATTATTTGTTTTATGTTTTCTTTATAAGCAATGTTCGCAAATAAAATGAGTTTAGTTGCAGTTTAGCTGTCAGCCACACCGCCTTTTATTTTAATTAGGCTCGCCGAAAACAAATTCCTCTCGGGAACCAAACCAGTGTAGAATTTTCGCTACACTGGTGTCAGGTGTGGGGTGATAAAATATCACCTATTCGAGCAGACTAGAGTTCTAGTCTCGCCATGCCAAATAAATCAAAGGAGTTTAACCAACTCCAACAGCAAATACAAAAGGAGTTACAGAAGCAGTTCTCCGGGTTCACCGAATTGATGAGCACTCATTTAACTACAGTTCTGCAAACACAGCAGTCTGAACAGCAACGCGAATTACGAGAGTTGAGGAGTGAGTTCAAATCGCTTACCAAGGCTTCGAAGCGAGATTTTCAACGCTGCAGTCTACTGTCATTCGCTTTTCTTTTGGAACAATCTTCTTCTTCAGCAGAGCCAATGCAAAATTACGGGCAATCAGCGCCAGAATCATTTACTTCATCAACCAATTGTGCTGATGTACGCTTGACTTCAGTGTTTACCTCTCCCATAGCAGCTGCCATGGTTTCGGACTCCGTTATGTGCTATACACGCATACCTTCAGACCGGGAGAACTCAGGTCGAACGCGCGGCTGTGCTCCGACTGAACAACAACAGCACAGGCTAAATGAACTTAATATTTCAACGCAAGCAAATAATTATTCACATCTTTCACGTCGTGCTTTTTGTCAATATGACATAACGCCTTACGATGGAAAAACGTCGTGGGTCGACTACTCGTGTTTAGTTGAGCATACAGCGAATTTTTATGGTTGGAGTTCAGCTGAAAAGGTTATGGCGGTTATCACGAATTTACGAGAAGCGTTTAGGCTAATAAGTACACTTCCGATAACACCACCTCCATCGTGGGAGCAGCTTAATAAACTTTTTACGGACAAATTCACGGTGACGGCACAGGTTAGCCACCAAGAATTTAAGCGGCGTATTCACGGTCCTAAAGAAGGCTTAACGGAGTTTGCAACTGCTTTGGAACTACTAGCTGCAGCTGCTTTTCCAAACTCCCCACCATCTTTTGTCACTGAAGCCCTCAAAATCCAATTCATAGATGGACTTCGAGATCCAGATGTAATGCGCTTAGTGGTTGCTGGTCAACAACAGACTATTAAAGCTGCTCTGGTAGCAGCGCAAGAGCTTTCATCCCGACCGGAATCCAGCCGAACTCGACCAATATTCGCTGTCAATCAAGGTTCTCGCAATTATTTACGAAATTTCAGCGATCGGCCGGAAAACGCAAACTCGTCGACTATGAGGAGCGAAAGTCGACGAAACGAAAACTAATAGCCCCCCTAAAATGATCAATAAAAAAATACCTCCGTCAGCTGGTACACAGAAGAACGGCTCGACTACACTAATGCGAAAACAACATGCATCAACACATTGCATTAAAATAATTAATGATGGTCTCGCTGTTCATGCCGCGATAAATAGTTTGCAAACTTCTTTTATTGTCGACACTGGTGCGGCTGTCTCCCTTTAACCATCGCATATCGTCCCTCAGGAGAGCGAAGTTCAGCCAATGTGCAGCAGGTGATGTAGAGTTTTTTTCTAAAGGCAAAGTCGAATTGGAATTTGTGCTGGGAAAAATCAACTTTCGCCACACTTTTTTAGTAGTTGATGCACATACGCCCGCGATATTGGGTCTAGACTTCTTGTCGGAGCAGCAAGCAACAGTTAATCTTCGCGACTTTCGGCTGGAACTCAAACGTCACTCAGTACCTGATATGTTTTTACTTTGTTAAAAATTACATGTTGATCTTCAGTTGATCTTGCTAACTTTGGAGAAAATGATTGTCTTAAAAATTTTCTATATTGTTTGATATTCAGTCTGGAAATAAACTTTACTTTAAACGTTTCATTTGGCGACGAGGATTAAAAAAAAACCATTTGAAAAATGGAAGCAGCTATTGCGGAGATCCTGCAAAAGCAACAAGAATTCACGCAAACAATTTTTGCGCAACAGCAACTTTTTTTTACGCAAATCTTAAACCAGCGGGGTGAGAGTTCTCCTGTAAGCGTAACAGCGGTTCCAACATCAGTCCCCAAGTTTCATCCTTTCGAGGAGGATAAGCACGAATTCGATGCATACAAGAGGCACATTTTAAGGCATATTCAATTGATGACATCGAGCGAAAGAAGTCCTTTTTCCTGGCTTGGGTTGGTGATACAACGTTTCGTCTAATTCAGAAGCTAGTTGGGAAGCACAGCATTCAACTATTATCGTTTGAAGAGCTGGTCAGCAAATTGGAGGATCACTTCAGGTCAAAAACGCACATAATCAAAGCTCGGTATGATTTTTATAAGAGGAAAAAAATGGATACAGAATCTTATAATAAGTGGGTAGCTGAATTAAAAGGTATGGCTAGAGAATGCAATTTCGTATGTAAAAATGAAAATTGCAATAAGGAATTTGTCGATGAACTAATTCGTGACATAATTGTTTTATATGCTCCTGATGAGCCGGTCCGTACAGCAGCGTTACATAAGGTTGAGCCAACACTAAAGAAAGTTCTACAGATAGCTGACACGTATGAAGCAACTCAAAGCACTATTAAAAGTATTAAAACTAAGTCTGATGAGGCGGAAGTGTATGCAGTAAAGTACCGGAAACGACACGATCAGCATTTAGAGAAACCGAAATCGCAGATTCCAGTAAGTCAGAAGAAATATGAGTTCCCATCTTGTCCAGGATGTTTTAAGAAGCACGAGAAAATCAATTGTAAGTACAGAAAAGTGCGATGTCACAAATGCAAGCGGATTGGCCACATTTCCACGGTATGTAAGTCTGGTTCTAAGGCTCAAATCAAATTTATTGAGGAAGAAAGCGTTGAATTTGGCAATTGCAATACAATCGATAACGTCATAACTAGATCATCAAACAAAATGTTGATCACTTTAGAAATAAGTAATGAAGTAAAGAATCTCGAATTAATAGTTGCAAATTCTACCAAATGTGGTAATATATTTGGATTGAACTGGTACGATGAATATAAAGCGGTGCAAATTTTTCGCATTGTAGACAATCCGCAAATACAACTGCTCTGTGAAGAGTTCAAATTACTTTTTACTGAAAAGTTAGGTTGTTATAATAATATGAAAGCTCACATTTATATGAAGCCGGAAGCTAGGCCCAAATTTTTCAAGCCGAGACCAATTCCGTATGCACTTCATAAGTTATTTGAAGAAGAGGCTAAACGACTAACTGATTTAGGGATTTGGAAGCCAATCAAATTCAGTCAGTGGGCTTCACCA